TTTTTTATAAAAATAACTTTGGGATTCCACATTTTTTTAAATTTTAAATTATAGTCATTAATCGTTATTTTTGAAAAATTATAAACTTATACTTATTTTTCGCATTTTTATTAGCATAAAGTAATATTTATTAGAAAGATTACTTTTCGATGAGGTGATAAATTTCCCACTTTCTTCTTTGATTACGCTTATGCTATCTACTATAAATATATTTCAAAGAATTATATAGAATATTTAACGCTGCATTCTATTAAAATAGCCGGGTTTTTTTGTGAAATTACCACTTATTATCGTCTGAAATCCTCGTGTAATGATTCAGGACCTGTCGATTTTAAATCATCTACAAGTGCGATTTACATCTAAGGAATCTGATTTTACCTGTAATGCATTCCATTCAACACGAGTAATATGTATAATGGCAACAGTAGGAAATTTTTAAGAATATAATCAATAACTTTTGTGTATTCTTTATATGAAAGTAAATATATAAATAGTTTACCGAAAAATGATCTGGAATTATAATACTTCACATGCAATAATAATTACCAATAAAAATCAAATTTTGTGAAATAACCCACCTATCATTTAAAATTAAAAAATGCCTCTTTATATACAATAAACTATCCACATATCTTAGCATATCATTTATAATATTATTTATTATAAAATCTATAATATTTTCTTATAGATGTGATAAACCAGCGAAGAGCAATTGCCAGAATATAAATACAACTGCCTTTTTCCCATATTGTTGCTTATTGAATATTACATGTTATTAATTTATTCTTCACTTTGAATAACTAGTTAAACATATAGAAAATATTAAACATATTAAAAGAATCATAATGATTTAAAAAATTTAATAATAAAGTTGTATTTCAAATTTTTATTTTGTCAGAGATAATAAAAGCATATTAGATAATCAATATTAAATTTGCATCAACTCCGAAGGTAAATTTTAGGGAGTTGAACCTATTTAATGAAAATTTTTTGTTTTAAATAAAGGAAATTAAGCCAGCTTATGACATTACTAGATGTATTTTAAAAAATTGACATTAAAATATAAAATATTTAGAAACCGTCAAGGTATTTATATATTTTTTTATAAATATAGTATCTAAACTTAAATCAAAATTTATTTGAGTAACTTAATTGAATATGGGTTCTAAATAGAGTTTACTTAATTTGTTAAAAAGTAGCTTTTATTTCAAAAAAATAACGAGGGACAATTGATTTTATATTTATAAGTCTATAATGTCTGGTTAAAAAGCGGAGTCTTGTGGATCAACCCTTTATTTTAATTTTGTTTTTGGATTGTTTATTTTTAATCTGCCAGATTTGATAGGGCATGTATTACGTCATACCATTAGTTGATCAGATTTAAATAAAATTCTAAGACAGCATACAATAGTTAATTAAATTTAATAAATATTTTTGGCCCATTTTTTATATTGCCTTACACCATATTTGGTAATTCTTTAATACCTTATTTTTCAATAGGTTTTTTCTGGAAAAATTTTTTTATTACTTGAGTATGTAGTAATACCAACTACTAATTTATAAACAATACGACTACTAATTTATATTTAAATTTATTTTTAACATCAAACTTTTTATTATTATTTTTCGAATGTTCGATACTTTTAAATATACAATATACATAAATAATCATTTATTAATTTATTACATTTCCTTCAAACAATTTAAAGTTAGATTTCTTCAATAAACCTCTTTGTAGGTTTACGGTTTCTTGATGAGCAACGTAATGTGGTATTTGTATTTGTGTTTGTATTTGCTTCATTCACTGGCACAACCATTTCTGTAACTTCCAAAGAACTTTCATGATTTGGGATAACTAAACGATTTCTTAACTGATCTGCATGCTTCCGTAATGTTTTCCCGGAAGATTCAACAATATAAGAATAAAGTCCTATTCTTTCTTTAATTACTCCCTCTCTCCAACCATTGGTATTTTCATTATTTAACGATATAGGTTGTGAGATTTCAAATTCTCTTTCCTTTGAATGTAAATCATGATGAAGGCTTTGTTTATCATTAGCCCTTACTATTTCGTGTTCGGCATTTGGTCGGATCCAATCCAGACTTGTTTTCAATTGCCTCCCAAACATAATTTTAGCAGGAGATCTCCCTGTGGAACTATGCTCTCCCAATCGGTAGGTTGTTAAAACCTGTGTCATAGCTTCTTCGGGATCGCTAATTGAATCTCTCGTTGCATAATACCGACCTTTCAAAGTTCGTACTGTACGTTCAGCTAATCCGTTAGTTTTTGGATGATAGGGTGCTGAACGTATATGACGTATGTTATTTAAATCACAATACCTACGGAATTCCCCAGATAAGAAATGTGGTCCTTTGTCTGACACACTGTACTTGGGTATTCCAAACCTAGAAAACCATTTATTTAGTCGTTTTATCATAGCATCAGCAGAGGTATTCTGCATTAGATCAACTTCTAACCATGGTCTATTTTTCTGGCATCCAGAACATATTTTGATAAAATTTTCTATATCAACATCACATCTGGGCCACCAACAATACAATCTAAAAATAGATTTCATTACATTTTCCCCAGGATGTCCCCAGTGAATCATTCCTAACACTGCATTTCTTAATTTATTAGGAATAACCAATCTCCCATTCCATTCTATAATATTACGATTGACAGAAAGCTCTTCCCGTCGATTATAAAAATTAACTATTTCTTTATCTTTATGACGATCAAAGTTTCGCCAACTTTGCTGAATATGTATTGCTACTTTTTTTAATATTAAATCTTGCTTCGACTCTTTTCGCAGAATATTTTCTGACAATTGCATATCATCCAAATTAATACTTCGAATATCCAAAGCATGTTTAGAATCTTGATTCTCTTCCGAAATTTCTTGGTGTTTATTAATCAAATCTCGATTTCTAGAATCTAGTGTTATGCAACATTTTTCTTTTTCAATATTGTTGACCAAATTGCGTACTTGTTTAATCATAACCTGACGAGGCATTTCTAAATTGAATGCTATAATCCATGGTAATCCGAAAAGAGGCACCCCAGTTGTATTCATTATTACCACTGGTAGAGTCCTTGTCTGTGATCCAATCCTAACATTGACTTGGGTCTCGCCCTTGACGTCTAACGGATGATCACCATATGCAGTCAATGGACTGGTTGGCCTAATTTTTGGTCGCCCAATACTTGTCCATATATCAATTCCTATCAATGACGCTTGTGCACCAGTGTCAAAATCAAATTCAACTAACCCATTTATCTCTGCAGTTAGTTTTGCTCGATTCTCTCGATTTTGTTGAATCTTCCAAATATTATGAATAGAATCACTTGATGACACTCTTATATAATTTAAATTCTTTGATTTACAGCAAACTGCAAAATGACCAATTTTTTTACATTTATTACATGCCGCATTTGTAGCTGGACATCTCACTTCTCGGTTATGAATAAAACCACATTTATAACATTTAAGTTTATTATAATCTTTATCATTATTATATTTGTAGTTATTATTCTCTTTATCAAATGTATTATTATACTTGACTTTATTATAGCCTTTATCAATTGTAGTCGTCGTTTTTATTGGATGTTTATAATTATTATCATTATCATTTCTTTTGTTATTAACATTTATCTTATTAACAACTGGCATATTTTTATTTGCCATTTCTTTATCTGCTCGCTCAGAAGCTAATGCCAGATCAAGAATAAATTGAAAAGTCAGTACATTATTATCTCTATCAAGACCGTCGGGATATAGAGCTCTAAGATCTCTTTCCAATCCCGGTATTTCCATGCCGACCATAAACTGATCACGTAAACGCTCGTCAATATCATTAAGATAATGACAACGCTTGCCAATTGTTCTAATTTTATCTGCAAATTCAGTTATGGTTTCAGTTGTTCTCCGTAATCTAACGAAATCAAATCTAGAAGCAAAAGCTGTTGATGTCGGTTTAAATAGTTTAAAACATATTGACTTAATTTCCTTAAAAGATAAAGTTTCGATCGAATCAGGATAACAAAAACGGTTCACCAACTCAATATTCTTATTGCCAAAAAATGTTAAAAATATATCTTTATATTGACATTCAGATGGGCTTACGTTTTTTAACCGAAAACTGGCTTCCCCATTTGTAGTAATACCAACTACTAATTTATAAACAATACGACTACTAATTTATATTTAAATTTATTTTTAACATCAAACTTTTTATTATTATTTTTCGAATGTTCGATTCTTTTAAATATACAATATACATAAATAATCATTTATTAATTTATTACAGAGTACTTTAACATTATATATCGGATGGGTTTCTTCAGTTTTTTGGGGATTAGATTAAGTTCTATTTTGCAATAAAGCCTCTGCAATTGTACCTCAGGTTTCTCCTTTAATGTGATTATTAAACTACTAAAAACTTAAGAGAAAGGATAAGCTTAAGATAGTTTCCATTTTATCCAGTTTATTTTTTAAAAATATATTACACAAATTCTAATAATAATAAAATACAATTTCTCTTTAAATTATATCGCTAATTTTTAAAATTAGGATCTTTTTATAATCACTAGTAGGTAACATCAAGATAATAATGACGTGAAATAAAAATTTTCACGTTAATATAGATGTTACCGTTTATTTTCCAGCTATATCCATTTATTTTATGTATAAAGGGCACAAAAAGGGTTGTGTAGGAGGGGGGGGGGGAGTAGCTTAAGGAAATTTGAAATGTGGGAGGCTTGGTTAAGTGTATGGTATATATTTAAAAATATTGTTATTATATAAATGAAATTCTGTTTAATATATTTGCACGGATAACATCATTATTAATGTAAATTTGTATGAGGTAATTATTCTATTATGTGCATTTATTTACAAAAAATCGCTAGCAATTTTTGAACAATACTTCAGATAATTATTTTAAGTAAGAAATTAATGGACCAATCAGAAAAGTCGACGAAATTAACGAACAAATAATTTCTGGATCATAATTTATCGAATCTTTTTCTCATATGGGGGTTTCAAATTTATGGGGAATTTTGCAAAGTTGTGGAAATCCTATCAAACCTGAATCATTGGAGGGAAAAATTTTGGCCATAGGTTTTTTCATTGATATTTTATATTTATATATTGTATATATATATAGACATAAGTATATGGTTGCACCAAGCCCTTCATGGATATGTCAATACCAGTTTATCAAATAATAAACCTCATTTACATCTCATTATTAATAGAATATTCAAACTTTTACATTACAAAATAAAGCCAGTTTTTGTCTTTGATGGTGGAGTACCTGTTTTGAAAAGACGCACAATGGTTGGTTTAAAATTTTATTTTATGTGATTTATTTTTCAAAATATAGCTAACTAGGCAAGAGAAGCGTAATAATGCCTCAGTTGACATTGATAAACTAAATAGGCAGATAGTCAAAAATAAACTCTGGGAAGATATACTTAAAAAATATATGGGTATTGAGAACAATTTGTCTAAAAATAATATAAAAATCGAAGATAAAGACATTTTTGAATTGCCTTATAATGAATCACCAAATGCCATTAGTGATAAAGGTATTAAATTAGATTATTTTTATATAAAATTTCCTGATTTCTTGATTTAAATGTTTATTCAATATTTGGAAATTAAATTAACTTTAAAAAGAATAGATATTATGATTTTCTATTGGTTAAAAATATGAATATAGCACTCTAAATATTGGTAGACATTACATTATTATTTTTATAGATATTGAATGGGAAAAAAGAAAACATAACATAATCCAAGCCATAAACCATTTATCTCAGTCAGATAATATTGATATTGACTCAAAATCTTTTAAAATATTGCCTAAGGGCATTCAACATGAAATACTTCAAGAACTTCAATACAGTAATAAACATCCTACTTTAGAAAAGTTGATTGATCTAACAGATGTAATTTAGTATTATATATATATATAATATATATTAAAGAAATGTCTATTATCGTTCTCATTTTTGTTCAATTTTTTTTTTAAATTGAGATATTTATTCAAATGAATTTTTGATATGTTAATTAATATGATAATATATATAGAAATCTTAACAACAATTAATTTAATTGTAGTTTTGAATCCCAATCAAACCACAAACCAAGCTAATAACCAGAACCAATTATTTTTAAATAAGCATCAAAATCAATTCTAATGAAAAATTTCCTCATTATTTTGAATTTTTAAATTCCCTATTAGCATGGTTTGGAACCAAATCCCGGAACTTCAAAACAGCTTCAAATTTAAAGATCAGAATCACTAGCCAGAACTCCTTTTTATCATTTTTAGGAACTCGAACCAGAATATTTTGTCCAGGCTCTAATCTCTGATCTATATATTTGGATTTGGGAAGATATTATCATGTGCCCTTTTTATTTTTTTTAAAAATGTAAGAAAAAATAAATATTTTTAAACATGTTTTCTCTTTGGGTCATGGCATATTTTTAAAGAAAGAGCAATCTTTCATTTCTAAATTTTCCATTTTAAAAGATAAATTTTTTAATTATTTTATTACTTTTTATATAATAATTAAACAACCAGGAAGGGATTTTTAGTACCCTCCCTCCTATTATTCTTTTCTTTGTAACAAGGTTTCAACTTTAAAAAAAAACTGGTATGATTATGCAAGTAGGGGTTTTTGAATAACATGATGAATGAATATATTTGCTCACCTTACCTTATTAATTACTTTCTAAAACTCTTCAACTTAAAAAAAATATATAGAAAATCCAAGAATTTTCTGATTTCCAAATAAATCGACTTGTGAAACGTAGTCAAGTTACTGATAGGATAGAAAATCTGAATCGTCAAATGAATGTGGAATACATATCCAAAATCACGTCTTCAAACCCGATGAATTCCAACGATAAAAACTACGTTATGAATAATTCGCTGTCCTTGGAAGAACTCTCGAACGCCGAAATACAAAGGATGGCCTCGGACGAAACGGTTCATTATGTGCTAGTTAGGAGGAAAAACGTCAACGTTCACGCTGATAGGATTAATTTACCTGATAAAAACAGGCTAGGATATACTTCAAAGCCCGAGTCAAAAGATGATCAAAATGAAGCCACGATGTTTGATATTGATGATGATGACGAATACATCTGCCAGATAAATGAAATGATTGAACAATCTAAAACAAGTACAAATTATGTGGTCACCAATAATCTTTTGCTTGATGTACAGGAGAATGGAGTACAATTTGCAGACGTGGCAAATGATTATAAAGACAACAAAATAATGGGGGAAGAAATGGGTGACTCAATTTTGAAACTCGAACAAACTAGACTACTTCTAAATCATAGAATTTTTGAAGCCAATACCTCGGCTGTGGATTCTTTGAGTGAAATCGATGCCAATATTTTGCCCTTGGAATTTAAAGGAAATCACCATCCCAAACACAATCCCAGTTCAAAGGATCGAGAGTTCGTTGGAGGAAATAATATCGAATATAGTAAAAAAAATATGGCCTCAAAGAATCTTTCCCACAAAAATTATTTCTCCAAATCAAGCAAAAGAAAAAAACGCGAGGCGGTGGCAAAAAATCAGTATTCACCTATCAATCAATTGCGTCATAAATACTCTAGCCGTACTCCCTCGAAATTCAGCTATTTTAGCCTCAAAAGCATTAAAAGGAAAATAATTATGGGGCGAATCAAAAAAGTACCCAGTAAAATCCACGAGGTATAATATATGCATAAAATACATTTTACGATTAAATCTCTTAAGTGGTTCTTACCGGTTGACCATCCGGAAAGGCGATAGAATCATTTATGATCTTGTTGGGAGGAGGAAGGACTAGAATTATAGCCGTGATCTTCTTAAAATTGTAAAACAAAAAATTTTTGACTAAAAAATTAAGAACATTAACAATTTTTTTTTCTATTTATTTAAAAAAAGAAGAGGAAAGGATATGTGCCACGACCCACGTTTCTAAAAGTCGATTCAAATAAGTTATCCATTGACATTAACCGAAACGATAAAATCGCTAATGGAAACGTTAATTTCTGGCCTGAAGCGCCTCTAATCACGCCACTTTCGCTTAATATGACTCAATCCCACAACGCAAAATTATATGGTTAAAAAATAATAATATACGATAATTATTGTTTTTTTTTAATTTCTCAAAACCATATAAATTTGGTGCCGGAGCGTTTTAGAAAGAAAACAAGAATTTTAAAAATCGCAAATCTTGAATCTACATTCTAATTTTGTGTTTAAAAATTAAATTAACCTTATTTATTTAAATATTTTGGGCATTATAAAATATTTCTGTAATTTCCTTGTTAATTTTAAGATGATTCAACCTTGAAAACAATTGCGAAATATAACCTTACACCCCCAGAGGATGTATTCGAAAACAATTCAATCTTGAAGGAAATTAAAGTTTTTATTAATATTATTTATTTTTTTAAAAAAAATATATTACCAGGACTAATAGTTTGTTATATTATTTCAGTGTCCAGTTATTAGTTTTAAGAATTTATAGCGTTCTCTTCGTTTTCGGTTTTAAAAAATTATAATAGCTTGTTCTATGTATATTGGTTTCGGGTTCGAATCCACACGTTATGGTATTCCCCAACTTTACACACTTTCAGACATGATTGTTTAATTAGTCTCTGTTGAGGTTGAAGAAAATCTTATCTGGACTCAGATATATCTTCTCGAAGCAAAGAGAAAAAAATAATTGCTCAAACTTTTCATTTTTAAATGTATTATTTTATTGTATATAATCGATGAAATAACGAATTTTAATTTATCTCATTCTACTATAACGAATCGATATAAGTTGGATTCATTGTGGGATCCGATAAGATTTAACAGCTGATCGATTTTAAAAAAAATATTTTATTTATAATATCAATTTTTTTTATTAATTTTAATTTTATTCATAAATACTAATCTGCGAATTATTGATTTTAATCTGAGATCTGCAGAATTACCTTTTACCTTTTTAGGCTCGGTCCAGATTAAATTTAAAAAAAATTTGGCCTGGGTGTATTGAAAAACTTTCTATTCGGTATTTTACCGTTTGTTTTATAGCCAATATGATCATATCCAATTTTATTTATAAATTGAGAGATAATGTATTACAAATTAATACGATAAGAAATTTATTATTGGTATAATCATTTATTTTCAAAACATTATCAGGCTTGTAAAAAAATTTAAAAATTTACGACAATATAAATTTAAATTATTTATAAAAATTAATAATCATTTTTATTTAAAGAAATCCGTGTAAATAATATTTAGAGAATATAATCTATTGCACAATATATAATAATCGCGATTTAAAATATTCGTCCCAGCCCAGGTATTTAAAAAATTTTAGGTTCGACCCGGGTATAAAAAAAATTTTTAGAGCCCGGTCTCTGATTTTGATAAAGAAAAATTAATCTCATGGAAAAGATTTTCCAAGTTGATCAACTGTTAAATTGTCGAATAGGATTCCACTAGGAATACAGCCTAAAATAGGTTCACTTGAGACTATATACCAAATGGGTTAATTCCCCCTCCCTTCTGTAAATTAATATTTCTATATAAAACATTCGATTTAAAGAATACATTGTAATATTTCTTTTTTCGTAAATTCTATAATAATTATATAAACAATTTTTTGATTTATGACAGAACAAATTGGAACGACAGCACGTCGAGGCTTTGGATGATGTTCAGACTCTGAACATCGAAAGAGCCAAGTTGGAAAGATATTCGAAAACTCTGACCCAAGTTATTTACCAGGAAACTCAAGTTTTTTTTGAAATATTTGTAAATGATACAAAAAAATATATTTGTTATTTTATGGAATTAAGTGCAATCTAGAATATACCTTTTCCACAAATTCTTCTAAATAAAATTTGCATGCGTTCATCGGAACATCGCGACCATATGCCGCTCTCAAGGGTTCTTAACCCGACCTGGGTTCAGACTAATAGTGACCGATTTTCTTATAATAGGTCCGAACCTGCCTTGTCCTAAAACACCCTAGCGATTTATTTTAAATTCATTTTTATATGATGAAATCCGAATTTAAATAAATAATTTAAAGGAGCTTTTGAAAATCCTGGGAGTTCCCTGGGTCGTTGCCCCGATGGAAGCCGAAGCTCAGTGCGCTTATATGGACATAACTGGTCTAACCCACGGCACCATAACGGACGATAGTGACGTTTTTCTTTTCGGGGCTCGCAGAGTGTACAGGAACTTTTATGCGACCAGTCTCAACAAGGGGCTCGAGTTTTATTCGAGCCAAGATATGGAAAGGAAATTGGGTACTACTTATATATCTTGATTGATTATTTACGTCGTTCAACTACATTCTCATTATCGGCTGATTTTCAAGAATCAGTCTTTATTTATTTATAATTGCACATGCACTATCATGATCATCTTCCAGTTTAAGATTGAATGGCTTTATATACCTCCTCCCTCTACTACCTTTCACCATCTCATGTTAAATATTCCTTGATGAATCCTCCATATGGTTATTTACAATAATCTTTCATCATCCTATTATAATGTTGAGGCAATTTAAATTGAAAAGTAATGATCACAAATATTACTCTATAAAATACACCAGGATTTGGCAAATATCTAAGATACTTTTTACCATCTTTTTTTAATATTTGGATTCCTCTATGTTTAAAAAAAAATCTTATACATTTCTATTTAAAATATTTTTATAAAGTATAGTATTATAGTTGTTTTAGATGTCTATATAAACAAAATTGGAAAAAATTTGAATTTGTTTAATATTTTATTTTATTCATTAAAAATTAATATAATTTCGAAAAAAACACAAAATAATATGAAATACATTATATTTAGGTTTAGACAGACAAAAACTAATTATGATAGCGATGATGGTTGGTTCAGACTATACCCCCGGTATTAAAGGGGTAGGTCCTGTCATGGCACTAGAAATTTTATCGGAATTCCAGATTCACACTTTCCAAGATTTCATTGACTTCAAGTATTTTTCTCCCATTCCATTTTTAAGAAAACATATATTTATATTTAAAAAAGTGTTCTGTGTTTCTAATTCACTCATAATATCCCTATAGTTTTTGCCAATCTTCTTTATGCACATAAAAAACAAATTTTAAATGTTTTATATTCTCAGAACTGATACGCGTTTTTGAAAAAAAGCATTTATAAAAAAAATAGTATCAAATAAAAGCTTATTTGCCGACATTTATTATCATATAAAAACCTTACATTCCCGATAATATCATAAAATTCAGAAAATGGTTGGACTCATCCAGACATCATCTAAGCTCCCTACACAAATCTCTCAAAATAAAATCCCCTCTACTTCCGGCCTCTTTAGAATCTCCTTTGAAACGCAAATTGCTGGATAAAAACATTTATTTTCCCGACGAATTTCCCGAACCACTTGTTTTCGAGGCTTACATGAACCCATCCTTGGAAACCAGCCAAGAAGGTTTTACCTGGGGCCATCTTAACGCCATTTGGGGAGTCAAAATGGATGGATCGACTAAATTAGATAAAGGTGGTACATATATTTATTTTTTATTTTATTTCGGGCCTCTTGTGAAACATATAACTTTTTTTAAATGCTGTTTTGTTTTGGGTTCATGTGAATAAAGGAGAAATAACAGAAACATCTTAGTCAACTAGCCCTTTTAAACTCGATCACTCTTCAGTAAGGTATCTTTTTAGACTCAAAATCACCATTTGAATCCATTACAGGACTGTTCTCTATTATTGGTGACCCCGGAACTGCCTTTAAATGTTTCATTTTACCCCGTTTTTTAAATTATAAAATCAAATTTAAACAGATTACTTTATATTGTTTTAGGTTTGAATAACGAAGTGGGGACTGACGCAACGACGGGAAATAAGGTTTACCTCGATTTGCTAAACTTTGTCAAGAAACATATAAATTGGGATGCCAACAAACTTGATTCATATTTAAATCCGCTTAGAAAACGATTGGCGCTAGAAAAGAATAAAGTGAGATTAATTGTTGCGCTAATATTAATTTAAATTTTTATGTTTCACCTTTAAGCTGGACGAACTGCGGTCCAAAAAAGACTCACCCGCCAAATCCGGTCTAGTCTTAGATTAGGACCGATAGGCAAGGACCGTTAACTTTGGCTACCTTTGACCTCTTAAAATTGTTTCATTTAGCTTCTTTTTTTTCGTCACAAGGTGTTTCTTTTTCAAAAAAATGGTGTCCTTCTCTCGTCTAATTAGCATTGAAAAAAGACTAATTGCAAAATGAAATAATGGACTTTTATAATGAGAAAAAATTTTAGTCATAAACTTGTATCATTATTATTAATTTTCCTCAGGTGGTAAAGTGGGATTTAAAAATTTACCAACATATTTTTTAAAAAAATTTATAGAAAATTAAATTGAATAACATTGTTTCTATAACATTTTTTTTAGTTCATAAGTTTAAATTCATTATACGTTATGGGTTTTTTTAAAGCTTTGGACTTGGAGTCACATATTTCCTAGGTACCTTTGGTTTTAAATATGATATGGAAAATTATTATAAATTCCTTATTAAAAATTTTTTTTTATAACAATATTTATAAATATCTCAATCCTCAACGGTAATTGAAACAGTAAACAAAATTTGATTTATGAGGCTGATAAAAAAAAATCATGATTTTTGTAAAATTTATATTTTCTTTATCTTAAGATAAGTATAGAATTTTATTTAATATTATGGCCCTTATGAATGTTGCGATGAGTTTATGTACTTGGTGAGATACGTGCAAATAAAAATTGATAGCAAGAAAGATTCCTCATTTTACCACTTTTGTAGTTTCTTTTTTTTCCACCTTACCTTCTCGAGGGTTAAAATGAAATTTATTTAATATTACCAAAAGATCCAACACACTATCGACGAATACTACACGCCCGTTTATAACGATACTTGTTACGATGCGAATATACCAGAAAATAAAACAATGCCAAACAAAAGAATTTTAAAGGCTCTCACAAAATTGAGGGCAAAAAACAAGGCCGAAGAGCCCGATAAAAAGGAATTAAATCGCAAAAAAATCACCAAGAAATCGGCAGTTAAACGGGCGACGGGACAAGAACCTGGAGTTAAAAATCTCGCGAAGAATAAAGCTAAAACTGGGGGCTCCGACCCCGATAAGCCCGTAACCTGTCGCCCAAGAAATAAGGGGAAGAAAAAAAAATTGAAATTTTCCAATCCGGCTCTGGCAAATGATTTTGCCCTGAACCTTTCGGAGGAGTCCTCGTGAACTTATGGAGTATTTTGAACGAAGATACGATTTTTTTTACTCTTTCGCCTTTATCTAAGTCAATGACATATAATACAACCTAGGCTGACGTTTCATCCATTTAAATGTGTATCAATACAAATCAGATGGTGGCAACGTCATTTTTGTTTCATTAAAATTTTAATGTCGTGTTACCAGCTAATTTTTATTTAGCCACCCTTCAAAATGCATTTTAATGAGTGAATCAGTTTAAGTAAGTATTATATGTCTAAGTCTGTATTATCGTTAATTATTGATGATAAATTGGATTATTTCATGGCTGAATACAATCATTCTAAAAAAAAATTTTAAATATTACCTGTCAGAATTTTTAATCAAAACCATCAGGGTTATATTGTATTATTGTTTTTAATAGTTTATATATGACTTTAAAAATATTGACCGATTAATATTTATCCCTATATTATCGTTACAAATATAAAGAAAATTATCTAACATTTTAGCCCTATTATTGTTTACCTCATTTTGAAAACAAAAACTTAGCCAATTATTTATATACCAAATTTGAAATAAATTTATTTATATGTTTGCGTTTGGTGTAAAATTAAACCGTCAAAGAAATGAGAGTTTGAAAAAAATAAATATTTGAACAAAGATCTTTAAACAATTATTTCCAAAAAAATTCTAGAAATCTCAAAAAAAAATTTCAAATTAAAGAATATATTCTTAAATACTAAATTCGACAATTTATTCTCCCAATTTTTTTAAAAAAAATTAAAACTTTGCAGTAAAAATATTGGTAGAAAATATTTTCCGATAGTAGTAATTAGTAATATTTTTTTGAATAAAACAGAAAAAATTAATGTTATACTTAGCTATTATGTAAATTTAATATTAATACCTTGGAGGTTTTATCTTTGTAATTCATTACACTTAAAATTTGAAATGATATCCGTCCGATCCGGTCCTAGAGCGTTTTGGTCCAGGCACAAGTTATATAATGCGGGTTTTCAATCCAGTACACTATCTGATTGGCACAGGCGACTAAAATAACTTATAAGTATTAAGTATATTATATAATAATTTTATTAGAATTAACATTATTGATATTTGGATAGGAGGAAAGAGGAGGGGGGAATCCCTCGCCTCATTGCCAAAGGTTTTTAAATAGTATTTTTAACAAATTATACTAAGCCCATCCCGTGATAAATAAAATAAGTAATTATAAAAAAATACTATATTACCCTCAAAGACCCGCCATTTTCTGGGAAGTATATTAAAATTTGTAATAAATTTTTTCCCCATGATTAATTTTTAATAAAAATATTCATTGATTTGTTTGGACAACTTTATATTTTAACAAAAAAAACCATTATATTTCAAACATTAATAATGAAAGTTTTTTTTTAAACAAAGAAAAACAAATTATTTTTAAAATTATATAAAATTAAAACTGAAGGGAAGAAAGATCAAAAATATTTAAGCGGTTGGTTGTTAAGAACGGAGGTGATAAGCCGTTGGTTGTTAAAAACGGAAGTGTTGAGCGGCTGGTTGCTAAGAACGGAAGTGTTAAGCGACTGGTTGTTAAGAGTGAACGTATTAAGCGGATGGTTGTTAAGAACGGAAGTGTTGAGCGGCTGGTTGCTAAGAACGGAAGTGTTAAGCGACTGATTGTTAAGAGTGAACGTACTAAGCGGCTGGTTGTTAAGAACGGAAGTATTAAGCGGAAGGTTGTTAAAAACGGATCCAGTGTATTTCTGCGGATCAAAAATTTGTCGATTGGCACTAACCATCATAGGCGCGAATGAGTTGTTATTATAAATACTATTAGGCATACTCGTCATATTGTAAATCATCGGAATTCTTCCCCCGGTTACGTTCATATTCTGAGAGGAAGACATTGCGACATTATTATTATTTGAGTGCGGTTTAGGTACACAGTGATTATAATTTAACGCATTATTATCACGACAACTATTATTAACAAATGTGGAGTGGTGCGCGCAGTTGTGGTCAGGGTGATGATGAGCGTGTGGGTTAATGGGAGGTGTATGGATCATTTTATGCTCTTTCTGCAAAATTTGGTTATCATTCGTTAATTCCAAAATTAACTTACCGTCTTCGAAAAATGGCTTAGTACCTGGTTGATTCAATTTTTCTGTAAATCCTATTGCCGTTAAAAATTGTTTTTATTTAAAAAAAATGATATTTTAGAAAATCGTAATAACAAAATATTGTTCTAATTTATCCATTTTTAGCTCTGTAAAACCTAATCATGGTTAATTTCTCTTTAACGCGCATATACTTTTAATGTTAATAGATAGGGGATAAAATTCTAACTTGCGTTTTTAAGGTAGCATTAAAGGAGTGGGTGAGGTCCTAAAAGTCAACAAATATGAATAAACAGTTAAAATAATATAGTTGCGTCTTCGTATACATAAAATTGCGAGAATCAGCAAATATTCTTGGAAAATGCAAATTTTTTTGTCTTAAAATTTGGAACGTATACTCTATGCATATTCGCAAAGATGCTATTTTTTTCCCTGCTGATTCGCGCAATTTAATGTTTGCGAAGATGTAGGCTAATGGGGGAAAATAATATTTTATACCACCATCTTTTTTCATCTCATTAGTTTCGAATTTCATTATCATTTGATAGTCCCTTGCCAAGTGCGAGTTTCTCAAATACACTGGTATCCCGATTAAAGTTTCACTGTCCGCCCCCTTCATCGGAGTCTGATTTACGAGCACAGGCGGAGAGCGAAAATTTTCGTTAGAGATTTCGCGATACTTTGTTTCATTCCCGTAAAAGTTTTTAGCGTTATCGTAGATTTTATAATTCGTGACTCTTTCTTGGCTTTCGCTAATAATGAGAGCTACATTTTTGTTATTTTCAAAATTTGGCAAAAAATTTTTCTCATCCGGTTGTGCAGTGACTATCGGCCCCAGGGAAACTGAATTATCACCTCCCAAATTTTGGACAACCTGACTATCACTCCCCAACTTTTGGGTAACTGAGTTATCACCAATCAAATTTTGGGGTACCGAATTATCGCCGTCCATTATTTTATCTTCGAGAGAAACGTCCTTTTTTATTAAATGACTAGAGGAGCTATCGGTATTTGGCGAAAGTGAATTATTAACGGAAATGTTTGTGTCTTCTGATTCGGAAGGCACTTCCGCTTGGCTAGGAACCGAGGGGATAGAAATCGAAGAAGCGATATTCTCCGAAGAAGATTGGAGATTTCCCAATTTAGGACAACTCAGATCCTTTTGAGGTTGGTGAGTATCTTGATTCGATTCCGAGCTCGAAATGTTCGGAGAATTATTTACTGCCTTAACACTCTTAATATTGCAAAATAAATAAATATTTAGTTTTTAAAAAAAAACCTTTTCGGAAGGAATCCATTCTTTTGACATTGTACCCGAACTATTATTTTCTACTTCCGAATCTAAATATTTTATGATATTAATTTGTTTTTTCACTTATAATATACTATATAACATAATAAATTTGGCTTACTTTCTCCGCTACCTTTTTTATTAGAAGTATTGGTAACGAATTCCCCTTTGGATTCATCAAATACACCTTTATAAACTTTTTTTTGAGATTATTTCATTCAAAATATAGTATATATATATATATATATATATATTCAAAATTTACAAAGATTTTTGATATATTTCAAACTTTTTACGGGTCTCTCTCTTAATTCGTCATTTACAAAACCTTTAGATAAAGCCGCCTTTTCCTTCGAATGTTCATCGAATTGTTCGAATACGGTATCGCTATAATTACCCTTTCCATCGTTTAAACTAGATTTTTTCGACGAGCTCCCTTGTCTATCATATTTAAAAAATGGTTAAATCTAAGTAGTATATTAAAAACAAGCTAATAAATGTTATTGCATATCTATATTAATGTGTGTAGGTAAATTTTACTAATGATCTGCCTTTTTTTGGTTATAAATGCCCTGCCTTTCCTGGCTCTAAATGCTATCTTTTCTACACGATTAAGATTTTAATTCATACGGATTCAGGTTTGCTTTTAAATTAATTTTTCTTATAACTTGGAATCATATAATTTTTGCAAAGATTAAAAATAAATAATCTTTAAAACCCCATTTTTATCAAATATACCTCATAAATTTGGAGACCAGAAATCTTAAATTTTCCATAGGTTTCATTTTTATAAAACAATTCATGATCTCGTCGCTGTCCATTCTTTCGAAAGTTATGTATCGCAATAACTGGGGTAGATATTCCAAGCGTTTTTTATCACTTTCGGCCCATTTCATGATGAGTTTAAATTTGTCTATTTCCCTTAATAATTAAAGTTATAATTAAATATAGTTAGTTTTTTATTTACAAGAATTATAGTAACGCGCATAAATTGAGCGTTTTAAACGCAAATAATGCATTTCACGTGGTATCGTGTAAATTGGCCAAATTACTGCTTGGCGTTAGAAAACGTTTTAAAAGATGGCAAAATGGTCTGCTTTTTTCAATACTTTTTTAATTCCATATGCAATATGATATGTAACGAAATTAAATTTACTTATTTTTTAAAGAGGAATATTTAGAAATTAAGGAAATAAAAAGGTGGCGATAATATAATTTATAAAAACCTATTAACAGAAAATTTTGAATCGGCTATACTAATAAAAAGGTAACCTCAATTTAAACAGAGGGTGCGTTACCCAACATTCATAGTTAAAGCGAATTCGCGGCGAATTATACATAACAAGCTGTATTTATGTATTCTCCGCTACCATTTAGGACTCTCTGTGATTGAGAGGTTACCATGAATTTACAGTTAGCGCGAATTTGTGAATGTGTAATTCATTGCTAAACTATGGCATAATCGTTTACAAAAAAGTAAATACACTCTTGGACGTAAGGTTGAAAAAATTATAATAAAAAAATGACTTGCAATTCAGGATATCTTGTTCGAGTATCCTATTCATGTTGACAACACTGAGCATATTCAATTTATCTAAGGAGAGAATATCTCCCTCGAATAAGACTTCCGGAATTATGGCTGACATATCATTATCATTCTTGCTTATATCATATTTATACAAATTGGTCTCAACACTTAGTTCACCCTTAGCTTCATTCGAGTCTTTATTCGTCTTTTTAGTCTTATTAATATTCACTTGGTGTGTCATTATTTCTTTAGCCTAAAAAAAATTGGAAATTATATTTAAAATCAGCATTAAAAAGGGGGGGAGGCAATATCTGATGCTTTTCGTGTCCTCTCCTAACCATCTTACTGTAATAAACGAATATAGAGTTTATATTATACCAATTCGCAAACTGATGTTAATTTCTCGATCTCTAACTTCTCCGCTATCTTCGCCAATTCTGATACATTCTCTTTCTTCAGCGTTATACTGCCGGTATAAAGAAACTTATTGAAATAATAAATATAAATAAGATTCAAATTAAAATTTATTTAAAAAATTGTCGAGTCACAAAAAATAAATAAATATACGTATTAAAAGACTACATCCTAGCGACCAATTAAAATTGCGTAATTTTATTTGCAAAGGTAAAGAGGCATGAGTGGCCAAGCATAATAATTGCGCATATTAATATTTTTTTGCTAAAAAAACCTTAATTTACATAACTTTTAAAAAAAACTTATGCGAATACAATTGTAGAAATTTAATTTACTTGCTAGGAAGTAACTTAATCAAAATTTATTAATAATAAAATTAACCTTCAACACTTGAAAGAAATTTTTGCTGGTGATGAAATTATGATCCACGTTTTTCATATCGCATATCTTAGTTTCGAAACTGGTTTTAAGCCATTTTTTGAAGAATTCGGAATGACAGGCCAGAACTAATTTGTGAGCTTTAAAACTGCCGCAAGGAATTTCGATGTTCACGTCGGGCATAATGATTGTCCCTTCATTCCACAGAACCTCAGCAACGAAGCGGCCTTATTTAATTTGATAAAAGAGAAAAGTATATTTTGAAACTTCTATGGGAAAAAATTTTTTTCGCAAAGAAAAATTATTTCTACGACGACCCCAACTCATGGAATATTTTGAATAGATTCCAATTACGCGTGTTTAAAATCTGATAGAGGTATACTAAGTCAATAAAAACTATTATCTTGTTCACATGGTTGACTAAAATAGGGCAAAATAGCTTACTTGGGCAAGCAAATTATCTGAGATGTTTTATCGTAAAATATATTTACCGTATCTAATAAAATGATCAGAAGACCTAGTTGGGGAAAGAGTTAGACCACTTTTAGCACCTTGTAATTTAGTCGAATTACTGAATTTATTTGGCTGCATTTCATTGTCAGTGTTCATGAGTTTGGTTGGATCGTTTCAAATTAGAAAATATCTTATTTAAAGGTATACATTATTTTTAAAATGTCTGTTTAAATTTTTCTTTGAAGTGTTTAAGAAAGATGGGGAAAAAAATTATAAAGATAAATTTACATCTATAAAATAAAGGAAGAAATATTATGTCATAAATAAATTAAAAAGTAATTGCATATTAAAATACTATGAAAGGTATGACACGAATAACATGACGTTGACTATATATATATACATATTCCGTATAATCGTGTTTTTAAGACTCTAAATATTTATACATTCATTTCAAGAATCGCTTTCTTTCACTCTTTGGAGAATCAGGGGTATTCGATTTCGAAAAATCATAAGCGTTGAACGATAACGCCATCGCAATCGAAATATTTTTTAACTATATAATATCCAATAGATAAATGGTGAGGAGCATTTTTCTTTTCTCACCCACATAATGGCAAAGATTAATGAATAAACTTACATTACCCCTCTCAAAAGAGCTCTGATTAGTCTACATGAAATGATTTGGGTATGTTTTTCAGAGACCTGCAAACATAGGGCCCGACAATTATTTTCTTGGCCCAAATTTTTTATTTTTTAAGCCCGGTCCAATAACGTTGCAACAAATAAGGCAACGCTTGAAGATAATGCGTTTAGCGTAAGGTTGATTATTTTCTAGCATTTTTATTAATAAATTTTAAGATTCCAAAAAAAATGGAAATTCTTTTTTTGTACTAAAGTTAATTGTGCAATTAATTTATTTCCTTGATAAGTTTTATACATTTTATTTTTGGTTGATTACAAACCTTGATTTAATTTTAATTTGAAAAAATTTTTTTAAACTTAATTTAAATATCTATTTTTGTCTAGATGGCAGAACCAACTACTTCTGTCCCTATTAGTGAAGAAACAATTCTTCAAGAACGTAGAAGATCTGTATGCGGTGAAAGTTACGATCCAGAACAAGATAATGATATCTCAAATGTAATCATTTCAAATTTCTATTATCTGTTAATTTATTTTAAAATTAAATAAGGCTGAATTTATAGTTAACGCCTTATGTTCTGGGGTTGCGTTATTTAACGCTATCTAAATCACAGCTGATTTGAAATATATGTCGGAACATATGTTTTTCAAATTTTATCGTAGCGTTATCATTATAACGTTCAATATTTATAAAGTGTGCGTATTTCTTGTTGATTATATATATATCGCACCGCTTGAATATAACGCGTTTACTAAAAATGAGGCTGAAGTATTTTGAAGGCTTATATTTTGTAAATATTTTTGAAATAGTAGCCAATGGTTACTTACTATTAGATTGGTCATTCATGCATTTAAAAGTGTACATATAAATGAGAGTCAACTGTAGTGGCAATTCTGTGGTTTGCACGTGGATGAAATGACATTAATATGCCTAAATATAACCTATAAGACAATTGGTCCAACATACAAACCACGAAATGATGCTACAAGCTAATCCTATGATCGCCAATCTAGTAGTATATATATAATTGATTATAGCATACTAAAATGCATATCGTAGGGATTGCTAAAAATCTTTGCTAACCCTTACGATATAATATGCTAAGAATCTGAATTATAAGAGAATTATAAGACGAAAAATTATGAAAGGCAGGGTAGGTGGAACAGCGACGTCACTAGGGGGAAGGGAAAACACACGGGCTCAAGCCTCCCGAAGAATTAAAAGTACTTCCTGAAAATTTTGGAATAAAACAGGTCATTTTGAAATCGAAAGAAATGTCATGTACTTATTTAAAAAGCCCTCCCCCCTTTTTATGATGAATTTATGGTAAGCTAAATGTATAATTTGCTTTATTTTAGAAGATTTTTAAAAACTCGGATTCTGATGCATCGAGCTACTTATTAATCTAACCTTTATTTCCCTAGGTTATATAAGGTTGTTGTTAGTTACTACTAAAGGCAGTGTTGAACTAATCGGTATATTATTTATTTTTTGTTTAAATTGACACTGCTACATATGGTTTTAATAAATTATATTAAAAAATGGTTGATTTCGAAAGCATCTGTGGCTCAGTAAGGGGGATCACTAGCATAGATCTGGGTTCAGATCTAGAAAAATCTAGTTTTTTCTAAAACCAACTAGGTAGTTTCGTGCTACTGGGCATGATATATAGTAGGCGGAAGCGACCTCGTGATGCTATCTCTTAATATATAAAAAATGTATCAAATTCCATTTAAAAAAAAATTTGATTGTAGTTTAGAAAATAGGCTGTTGTTTAGAATATTTATATATGTTGACTTGGCATTAACTAACATTAACCTTAACCTTTATTTAATTATATAAAATTTCTTAACAGAAAAGTAATTATATAATTATTTATATTAACAATAATATGTTGTTTTTCTTTTTATAAATTTTAGACATTTTATGATAAATCCAGCGAAGACCGAGAAATGATCAACAGGGTTTTAAAAAATGTTTGGCTGACGAAAGAAATGGATCTTGACCAAAAAGAAGCGATAATAGATGGTATGATGCTGCAAAGTTACAAAGCAGGAGAAGTGGTAAACCAATCGTTTTAAATTTTTTTTTATTATGTTAAACATAATCACCATTGGGGTCAGAAGGGAGGGAGTAAAAGATTTAGGCACCATCCTAATATTAATTTTTGTTTCAAAAATGGATTTAAAATTACTTAAAACATTTATTAAGCACTATTCGGGTGAAAAAAAATCTCTCTCAATGCATCCCTCTATTTTATAAGATTGGGTCGAAATATATTAAAATTAGTTAATCGTCTAATTTATGTAAAAATTTTTCATTTTTAAATTGCACTAAAACGAATATAAAAAAAAATTCTTTCACGCTATTTCCGGTGGCGAGTCGAAGATTTATATTCGAAGAAATAGCCTTCAAATGATATCTTTTATTCCGTTAGTTCACACAAATTTAAAGCTATCTTAAAATGACATAACATAAGTTTATGATAAAATTTAAATATTTCTTCCGATATTAAAAATAAAATTTCTCATTAACAAGCTCTACGACGTTGGTGAGCCCGCCGAAAAATTTTATATAGTAAAAAATGGAAAATTCGAAGCTTACGAGAATAAGTTATTGGATCCTAATCTTAAAGACGATGGTAAGCCTACGCCTTACAATCCGTCGAACAATATATCGTTGGTAAAAACGTTTGAAAAGGAAGATTTTTTCGGGGAAATAGCTTTATTGTATGATCCACCTAGATGTCTGCGTGTACAAGCTTCAAAAAGTAATCATCGTGACAACACTCCTATATTTTTTTAGAGACCTACAGAAGGTATAACCTGTATACAGGCCTAGACAGATCAGATTAATTTAATTATTCGATCTGATCTGGGGCTTCTAATTTGATCAATTTCCGATTTGGGATATTAATTTTTTTTTAAATTTACCACTTTGTATTTTAAGTTAAGCCTGGCTGGGGCAGTTAACCGTAATCAATCGTCATGGAATGGTCAGAATTTTCTGATTCGAAAATTTAAGGAATAAAGGGGCTTTTCATTGCCTAAAGATAACATATCTTCACTTGATAATTGGAAACCTCTACCCTTTTTTTAGAAATAAATTGAGTATATATTATTTTTTTACCTATGCTAGAGTCCTGCAAGACCGGTCCTTCAGCGCGACCTGTATAGACCCTGTAAAATATTTTCTTTTTCTGTTTTTGTCTGATTGAAGATACAAATTATATATATATAATTAATTTAAGAATAAAATGCATGTTTTAAGCATAGCCTATAATTTAAATTTCCTGGCGGTCGCAACGAGGGCAGGCTTAGATCTAGACAAAATTATCAGCAGGTCGCGATTAAGGTCGGGCCGATAAATTCTAATTTTAAGAAATCATTAACTTTTATACCATCGTCGAATAATGGTAGATAAATGACTTTCACATTATCCTCAAAAGAATTATAATTCTATTAGGAATATATAAAAAACTGTCAAGGTGGCCAATTATATGAATGATATGATTTCTCCCAATCATGCTTTCATAGTTCGAACTCGTGATTTGTAACGAAGAGGAAGCTATACCCTTTTTTGAAAAAAAAACTAGTAAGCCAAAAGAATCTAAAATTCTTTTTTAGTCTAATTTTTTTAATAATTTTAAATAAAGTTTTGAAATTATTCATTCACTTAAATCAACTCAACGAATGTTCAATTGAAGGATAAATTTTTCAATTGGATGAAATATATTTAAAAGTCTGAAAGTTAGGAGTAGGATTAAAAGGTTAAAGAGATAATGGTTAGAGTTAATTAAAGGTTTGAGAAATATGGGCTATGGGTAAAATATTTTTTTTTTTATAATATATAATTTTTTAATTAATAATCTGTCTAATCTGATAGCACGTGATTTATAAATAGACGAATAGAAAGTGAAATAAATATGTAGCGGCAATTTTCTTTAGCTGGATTATAATCCTAGGCTTCAATTTTAAATTTTCAGGACCGGCACGGATTTTTTAAAAATATATTATATTTATTTTTGATTTTCATAGTTAATAATGACGATTTAAAATATTCGACCCAGCCCGGGTATTTTTTTAAAAAAAAATTTAGGCCAGGGTGGGTATATTTTCCGGGCTTGAAGTTTTATGAGAAAAAGAGAGTAGGAGTGGGACATAGGATAAACTTTTTTTCTTACTATTAAAAATAAAATTAGTTCGTTATCCATCATTTTCTACTTAAAGGTTCCGATAATTCTGTCTACGAGATACAGAGGCATTTGTTCAGAAAATTAGTGATTCAACGGGCTTTCCGGAAGCGCAAAAAGTATGAAGAATTCGTCTGTAAATGTTCCCTGTTTGATCATTTGTCAGAGAGGGAGAGAATAAAGGTGGTAAACGCTTTAAGTAATAAAAATTGATAATATAGTTTTTTATAAAATCGATATATACTAACTGAAATGAAATCGTTTATTAACCTTCATAGCACAGGTCAGGCTATACAGACACCAGTCATCAAAAAAAATAGTGTTATTACTTTTGATTTTTGTATGGATCTTTTAGTATATGTTTGCAAAATTAATTTGATTTGTTCAGTATTTCATGGGTTCTGAAGATCGTAAAGACCCCACCTAATCATGCGTCTACCCGTTTTTTTTAAAAAAAAATCTATTTTATCATTGATATATTAATTATAAATAAGAAACTCTTTGACACATCATTTATATTAAGTATAAATAGTGACGTCACTCACCTTTACAATTAGTGAAGGTCAGCGGTCCGTCCTATCGATCTTTTTTGAAGACCATCCGGACCGGTCTTTTATTAATATTTAAGTCTGCTTTTACTATTCAATTAATATAATTTTTTTGTATATTTTATTTTTTTCGTTTTAGTAGGTAAAAAAACAAATAACAAAAAAAATAAATAACCGGTCCTGGACCGGTCTTTTTTTAAATCGGCCTGAATTTATCTTTTTAAAAACCGTGGCTCGGTCCGATCCGTGAGCATCAGTCCGGCCCGGTCTAAAGACCGGACCGTGACCTTTACCATTTAGGATCTCAGGGGACTCAAAAAAATTTTTTTTTGATATTTTTGAAAATTACTTTCTTTTTTAGCTTACAAATGACCTTTTTTTCCTTAGATAATAAAAAAGATTTATGGGGATATTCAAATTTTTAAAGCTTGAAGCCCCTGCAACCCCCACCTTTTCCCTTCCCAGTGACGCTAATGGTTAAAAATTATATAATATTCAAACCTTAGATAAACATTCTACATTATGAATTTTTTATATCATATCGTGGAATTTTAAATAATTTGTCACTTTTTGACACTATTGGTAAAAGCTTTCATAACATTTTAAAATAACAAAGAAAATCTTAAAATAACAGTTAAAGCCATTTGAATAAGTTTATTTAATGTATATATTTAAAATATGAAAGCTACGAATTTATTTGATGCTAAGATATGGCGTATCCGAATTGGGAGCCAGAAAAGCCAACTAAGTCTTTTATATCATTTTTAACCTATCTATGAAGAGTTAATCAATTAAACCATTGAATTTTTTTTTATATTTAAGATACGTCAGATTGATTTATCACCCTTATTGGGTCGGGTCCAAAAATATATAGAGTTCAATCAAAACTGAAAAGTATCAGACTAAAAAAAAGAAGTCCTATCAAAAAAAGGAAACTCCCACGAGAAAGGTCTAAATAAAAAATTTCTATTAAAAAAAGGAAAATCTGTATATTTAAATAAAATGAGTTATAATTTATTTTTTTCAGTTTAATAATCCTGAAATATCACTATTCTTAAGTTTTTGATTTTCCTTCTACTTTTTGCAATCTTCTTTAAAGTTACTTTTATGTCATCATTTGTTTTCTTCAATTTGATTATTTTTTTTTTTAAACCTTTTTAAAAATAAATTTCTTAATTTTCCTAAATTGTTTATTATTTTTTTGTCATATTTACAATTTCTTGTCCTTTTATCATTAATTTTTCTCCTTACATTTTTATTTTTAAAGTTTTTACTTACATAATTTTATACTTCTCTTTGGTAATCAACTCTTTAAAAAAAAATTTATATTTGTATATCTAATTATTTCATTTACCCATTCTTAAGGCTAATTATGTTTGTTTAATTCGATCTCTCCTGATTAGCATTTGTCCTCCTAGACGACGTAGCACCTCTATATATATATATCTTTGTGCTAGAAATTTCTTAAATTATTCGACATCCAATTTTAGTTTCATCTTAAATTAGAATCTATTATAGTCAGTAATATATTATATTATATATATGTTGCTCGCAATCGCATAATGGAGATATTGTAAACTATATTTTGTTACTTCTTTATTACAATAAAAACTATATGATACATATTAATCATTAATAATATCCCCTTCTTCTACATGGAATATAGATCTCCATATTTAGAAAATAATTCTTGCTATTCTCTTCGGATTCCTTTTCCTCTCTCTCCATGCTCTATAAAACATATTGATTCCTTTTCATTATTAGGATTTTGAATTCCCACAAAATCTTTCAAAGGGTCTTTTATGGAGGAAAATTAAATAATATGACCTCGTCTTTCAAACGATTCTTTAATTGTGGTGTTATGATGAAATAGAAAGATTAGCGATAGCAAAAATCATATCCATCAAATTATTTTCTTTAAAATGACTGAAATATGAATATACCTCCTTCTATCGTGAAGGTAATGATGATAGTATAATTCATTATTTTTAATTCCTTGGACATTTTTAATACTTTTTTATAAAGGGAAAATGAATGGTTATAAATAACAAAAAATAATAATAATTGAAAGAAAAATAAATTTTTCTAAATGTACAAAAAAATAAGCAATTTTTCTTTTTTTGAATGGGAATTCTCTCTTTTTGATTGACACTATCCATTTTTTGACTGAAACTTTTCCTTTTCTTTGGATGGAAACCTTGTATCTATGCATAAAACGGTAATAATTTGATATGCGATCAATAATATAAATAAAATGAAGTGTTGATTTTGACGATAAAATAAATATTCAAATAAATTTTTATAATTCTAGGTATTTTAAAATAATGTATTATTCAAGTCTAAATTGATTTTTTCTAATGATCCAAGGAAATATTAAAAATATCACTTTTTTAAATTACCTAAATCGAGAGATGGGAAGTTTTTTTTAGCTGTTTTCTCCCTATTTTTTTACGTTTTAAAATGTTTTTTTTTCTTCGTATTTTATGTTTTTTTACATTCAAATCACAGGAACCAAATGCTACGCGGATAAGGAAATGATTAAGCCTAAGGGCGAACAGATGACTGGCATGCACTTTCTTCTCAAAGGAAAAGTGAAGATAGAATACGATGAACCTAAGGTAGTCCCCAGCCAACCCTCTACAAAGAAAGATCCAAATACACTGGTTATAAGCCCTGGACAGTGGATAGGAGAGCTCACTTTACTCATGATGGAAAAGATTCCATCGAAGACTACCTGTATGAGTGCTCAGGCGGTCGGGAATGTGACCACGGGTTATATGGACGCTTACGATTTCGAAAAAATTTTAGGCAAAAATTCGATTCAACGCAACAGTAAAAAGTATGAAGATTTGGTGAGAGTAGCACTGGCCAAACCTGGGTATTAAAAAAATCTGAGGAAAAATGAGAATGAAAAAAAATAAATAAGGTTTTATAAGAGTTTTTTTGTTTAAATTTAAATGTTATATTATAAAAAGAATGATGTAGATATTCCAATATAAAGAAATACTGATTATTATAAATTTATAATTACTTCTACTCTTTTTTTGTACTATAAAATAATATTTATAAATAAAGTTTTTCGGCATAATTTATACAAAATAATTATATGGAAAAGGAATAAAAACTATTTATTATACAATTTACACATAACTTGATCATATTAAACCATATATTATCAGATTATCCTTAATAACCTAGGGTACACGGAATTAATTAAGCATTCAATTTTTTTTATTCGTTTCTTATAATATTATCTGAGCAAATTTCACGTATTAAATATAAAGGGTAATGTCAACCGTCACATTTAACAATATCACAAAGTTGTGATAAATGCGAATTGAATAATTTTCCAGGATTTTTTTTAACTCTTGAAACAAAGGGTTTATTATTCTAAACTGCGCCCAATTCGTAAGGGTTTTGATTTTCGTAAGTTCGGTACAGTCTCTTAGCCTTCTCGTAATTTCCTATGGCAGGTATGTAACCCAAAGGTTCAAGGTCGGCATAGCACTTGTCAAAAACTTTATCAACTATTTCAAGAGCCTGGTCCATCGTAATGTTGGTCCGCGACATGGCTATAGATGCGGCAGCTTTGTACCTCACACATTGCTAATGTTTATTTTATTTTTTGAAAAATGTTATACAAAATTCTCATAAATAAAAATGATATATATTTTTAAATAAATTTATTGGAACTACTGAAGATTTCAGATAGTATTAATAATCAACCTTTTTATGCAAGAATCAATTTTAACTTTAACAGGTATGGAGCCCTATAGATCAGATTGGAATTTAAGAGTCAAAGTTAATTAGGTATCACTTTTTAAGGAGGGGTGGGGGGAGGGGGGGGGTAATTTTCTATTTAAGTTTATGTATTTAACAGATTATAACAGATTTGTTAAAGTATATCAAGATACAAAAATGTGTATCTGTATCTAGATACACTTTTATAAAAAGAATCTTATCTAGACTATAATATTTTTTTTAGAAACATTTTGATATAAGCCAATTCTTATTTAAGCCTCAAAATTTTGTTAATATATGTCCTATGGGCTAAATCTACAATCTTAGGTAAATTAGTCTTAGCTAAAATCTTGAATCACCCTTAAAAATTGGAGAAATACCACTTAATAACATTAGTTGAATGTGATCCATTATATATTATTAAATCATTTTTAGTTGCATATAATATAACAAAATATAGTGTAAAATTTTAGCTACTCTATCATCTAAATAATTATTTATTTTTAAAACATTACAATTAAGTTGAATTTCTGTTCTATTTCTTAATATTTTATATTATTATAAAATTATGCATAAATATAAAATATCATATAAATCATAAAATAAGCCAATACAATGAAAATAATGGATTGGATTTTCTTAAAAATATATGCTTTCTAAAACCCTTTTAAGAACACTAAATATTGGTCCTAATCCAGAATTTAGTATTGGCACATCCCTAATTACAATAATATTTACTTTGTGAGTGTGTTTGACAGGGATTGCAATATTTGGATTTCTCCAAAAAAATCCAGAAAATAAACAGGGTGTTAAATTATAAGCTCTAATCTAATATTACAAATAATTATATTTCTAGTGATGCGTAATAACCTCTGTACATGCAAGATGATTAATATTTGAAAAATCCATTTTATTTCTACATAAATCAAACATATGCACCATTTCATGAGCCATCGTACCTTCGCAAAATCTGGTATCCATAGCATTTTCTTGGCACATAACTATCTATATAAATAGCTAACTAAAATAGGTTAAATTAATATTTTTCACTTGATTAGTTGAGGGGTCATATCCACCAGCCACAATCTTACTACATTTTTCACATGAAACATGTCTTTTAGGATCAAAATCACATCCTAAAGCTGACATTGCCTTTGTCATTATTCTTATAAATGGACCTATATAACACATTTAACCATATTTTATATTTATTTACTTCTATCAACGACAAAAGACACAGTTCTTTCGCACTTTAATTTTGCATCTTGGGTCAAAAGACTCTGCTTACATGAATCTATAAAGTTTCCAAGTTTCGAATTTTTCTCAAATTCTTTTACTTGATATCTTTCGGGATAAAAACTATACCCATAATCTTGATTATTGTCACCAGGTGCTTTGTAAGGCTTTTCATCTGATGTACCTTCACATTCTGCTTGCATTTATTTAAAAATTGAATGACTAAATGTTTCTCAAGGTGCATAATTATATAATTGATCTATGCTAAACGATAAACAATCGATCTAAAAATATCTTCTCTATATGTTTGAGGAATATAAGCTTTTTATTAGATTCAATAGCTGTTACTTTATCATCTCATTATAATATATAAATTTCATTTTAAGAATGATGAACGCAAAACAATTATTCTAATTTAAAACACATTTTACGATAGAATTATTAACTAAATTTTATTTTAAAAGTCCTATTTAACAAATTCGTTCTATAATATAAAAAATTATGTCATCATAATAAATTATAAAACGTTTTAGTTGAATTGATATAGAACAAAAATAGTTAATTATTTGAACGATCGAAAGTAATATTATAAAAAAAATATTAGTAAAATTTTAGGTAAAATAAAAAATAACCATATGATGTAAAAATTTGAATTAAATTAAAGACAATAAAATCAATTCATTTAAGTTAAAGAAATAATAAAAAAAAGTTATTAGGTTACAAAATAACTATGAAATAACGAAAATCAACAATAGCAATATTAAAGTTTATATAAACTCAGTGGCGTCGCTAGTGGAGGTGCACACAGGGGCTCGAGTCCCCTGAAAAATTTGAAGAGCCCCCTGAAGCAAAATTTTTTTTTTATTGGCTTCTTAATATCCCCTTGAACTAAAAGTGAATTTTTTTGATAGTTCCCAGAATGATTTCTTTAATAATTCCATTAAGTAATATATAGATTTAATTTTATTATTTAGAAATTAATAAGACTATTTTAATTTTTATTAAATGAATACTATTTTAATTATTAGATTAGATTAATACATATAAATTATACTGTCACTATGTCAGCTTGCAATCAAATTCTGTATTAAAAATATAATATCAATAACTCACTAAATATTAATTTAGCTTTAACAGTTGAAGTTTAATTGACTTTTATTATTTAAATTATTATATAACCCTAATTAAAAAAATATAATCATATATTATTTAAAAATAATTTAATATTGTAATTAGCCGAGTTCAAAATGACTAATCAACTGTATATTTATTTTTAAATTTAATTATCATACCTATTCCTAAAAATATTTTCAAGATCCAAATAAGTATAAGAGATTACTTTATAAAAAGTAAATAAATAGAGATATAGTTTATAATCCTCTGTTATATATAGTTGGTTATAAAATATTAGATAAAATGCCACTTTTATAGACGTATTTGACAACTATATAATATATTACAGTTAATATTATAATAAATTTTACTAATAAATGGTTTTGATAAGAAATATAGTAACAATATGCATTCAAGTATGTAACGCCATCTATTTAGTTATAAATAATTTTAAAAATTAAACATATTATTATTCATCTTGCAATAGATGTAATAAATTTGATATCTTTTCCTCTCTTCTCTTTTCTACTTTTTTCTTTTTCGAAAAACAGTTTTGAATTAAATTTTTAATACAAGTATATTTTTTGATATTATTATAAACTACTATTATTTTAAGATATAATATCGCCAATATATAAAATCTTAATTGTTTCATCATATCATTCTGGTCCTTATTTTATAGTTAGACAGCGTCTACATGACAGGATTTTCACTGGATGCAAACCCCCTCCAAAAACCTTTGCTTACCCACTTTACGGCGTTTATTGATACTTTTTTTAAAGAATTTATAAAGGATAACTTAAATTAATCTATCTCTACTACCAACTATCAATATTTTGTGAATATAAAGAATTTATTTTTTAGATAATAAATTCAATTAAAACCTCCATTATTTACTATGAATTAATTATTATGGCATTATGAGCTTGCTTGAATATCGAAACCTTTTAAATTACATTTAAAAGGATAGCAGAAAATTTTATTTGGAAAACAATGTGTATGATTGTTTGTTATATAGATTAGGTCGATGAATTGTATTATAATAATTCTATGATAAAAGTATTAATTTTACTGCAATAAATGTTGTCCTATTTCATCTCAAAATTTAATAGATAACCCTCCAAAAAATTTATCTTACCCACATTAAAGCAGCCTACCTCCTACCACCCCCCCCCCCCAAAAAAAAGTAGGATGCAAACTGTTCCTACCCCTCCCGCTCATGTAGACGCTGTAGTTAGAAAATGTTTCATTTCTAATATGGCATTACTGTGTGTAAATAACTCAAGGCTGCAATATATTTGCATAATTATTTCTTTAAAAGATTTTTAGTGTTTTTATTTAATAATTTATCCAACATAATAAATTCTGATATAAGTTTACATAGTGAGTGTCATGGCTATTACTGCAAATTAACCAGTGTATATTATTTGTGTTGCTATGTAAGTTAAGATTATTACAACAACGGCTGAGAGAATATGATTGCATATTTTAGATAAACAATAATGGTCAGTCGTTTATATATCATTTAAAATGGAAGATAATCTTCTAGAAATTTAATATCTCACGATAATTTTCTCGATTACTTATCTAGCCTCCATCATGTCATCTAAAAGGAAGCTCTAACCACCATATAGTTTTATGATTTGGATTGGTCGTTTATACTCTTTTCTTCAAAAATTGTTGATTTGGCAGAGGCCTATGAAATTTTTCCTTATTAGTTTATTGTATAAAACATTGTCAAAAATGGTAACAGATAGTTATACTAGTTTGATAACCCTTTGTCAATGTAAGTTGCTAAGAATTATATTATTGCATTATGTTGTTTTTTACATGCCAGTTTATTTTGTATGCATAATATAATAAATGACAAAATATGAAAATCAGAATAATTGTTCAGAGTTAACTAATTTAAAAAAAGTAATATATTAATATAAAACCCGGCCGAAGGCCTGCGTTCCCATAAAAATTTTTTTAGTGGAGCCCCCTGAGATTGTAAATGCTAGCGACGCCCCTGGATAAACTACAGTGAGCTACAAATTTTACAATAAATATAAGTTCATGTTCAAATAGTGTTTCAAGAATAGGATGAGGTATAAATATGACCAATAAATTAGCTTATTTGCTGAAACTAAGGTGGTAAAGGCATTATGAGTAGAGGTATTAACCTCATCAAAAACAGTTGATAACTCCTTAAAAATATTCAAAAAATATTTAAAATATGAGGTACTTCGTATGGTCAGTATCAATTTTTTATAATATATTATACTCAAGGCATTAAAATTAGTGTTAATAAAAGCCCGAATCGGGAAAATTTTATAAAATAGCCCGATTAAGATTAGAGCCAAAATAATGATAAGTAAACCTGAAGAATGGGAGAAAGTTTGAATATCTATCTGCCAAATCTTAAGGCTTATATAATGTTATTTTGGTTATAATCTTAATCTGGCCGTTTTTTTAAATCGACCCGAATAGGGCTTTTTAACAACACTAGTATTTAATGATATTATAGAAATAAAAAAGGCATATAATATATATTTCTTGTAGAAAATTTAAAATAGCAGGTATAATAAGCTGATATAAAATTTAAATGGTTCAATATGTGAAACCAAACTAATAAAAAACAAGTGCCACATACATATATGCTATAATATAGTTACACAACTAATAAGGATAAAAATGAAAATATAAATTTAACAAATGAATCATTTGTTATGTAATCAACTTCGGTCACAACTTTTTACAAATTTAACTATATCCTTGTTTGGCCAAATCGATATGGGTGTTAAATAAGAGCTAATTTAAATATCTTTAGATTGAAAGTATTCATTTTTTGTCATATAATATATCATTTAATAAATAGATTAATTATGCGAAAATATTTTACCGTTATCACAAAATGGGCAGCTAAAGATTTTGCCTCTATCACATCCACTGTTGAAATTCAATTCTTCTAACACGTCTAAAATGATTTCATCATTATGAGAATGGTGAAACAATTTACCATTGCGAATCTTATATCTGAAAATTTGTACTCACAGATTGTGCCTTAAGCCATTTTTGACAGACATCGATGATGAATCTGATAATAGATATAATCATGTATCTTGTAGACTTGTATTAAAACGAATAGAAATAAACTTTAAAAAAATTTATAAACATGTTTTATCGTCTTTCTTCATTTAATTGGGAAAAAGAATGATAATTTTATATCAAAATCAACTATTGAAATGTATAAAAAATATATATATAATAGTAAATGAAATCCACTTTGTACAAAAAAGTATTATTAATTTTGAAAATAAAAAAAAATTGATCTTAACAAACTCTTCATTATAATTGAAAAATCTGATTTAAATAAACTCTTTAAATACAATGGGTTCTACATAGGTCCGTCGTAAATGTCAATATCACTAAAATAATAAAATCTAAACATGTCAGTCATGAATATCAATATCACTAAATATATATATTTTTTTAATAGTGTTCATTTTAAAACGTTATATTGGCCCTATGTCCGACCCGGCTAGGATACACGGGTTGAACCGTATTTCAATTTTTAAATACTTGGGCTAGCCTTAAAAAAAAATTTTAAATACCCGGGGCCTAAATGTTTTCTTAAAAAATTCCCGGGCCTTTATAGTTTATGACCAAATATTTTATATCGTCATTTTCATCTATAATAATTAAAAATAAATATAATATATTTTAAAAAATCCGATACGGGCCTGAAAATATAAAACCCAGGCTAGGAAAATATTTTTTAAAAATAATCTGGGCCTTGCCGAAATTTTTATTTTTAAATCGGGGCCAGGTCGTATAAGGTACTTCTGCTAGTATCTGATAAAAATGCATTAGATATTTTTAAGTTTTGGAGCTCCAAAATGGAATTTATGTAGGTAAGCATAACGGATTTAATAATAATGCTTTTACACTCATTTAAAGTTCCGCTGTAAATAGTATTTATTAGTCTCATTCTTTCTATAATGTGATTTATGATAAAATCA